TTTTGCTTAGCATAATACTCTCCAAGTCCCTCCAAGCTGTCTCAAAGGGTAAAAGATCCTTCTTTTTTACAGCTGCATAGTATTCCATGGTGTAAATGTATCACAGCTATTTTTATCCACTCATCTATTGATGGGCACTTGGGATGTTTCCAGATCTTAGCAATTGTAAATTGTGCTACTGTTATGAACATACGGGTGCATATGTTCTTTCTGATTGGTGTTTTCTTTTTTAGGATATATTCCTAAAAATGGGATCACTGGGTCAAATGGCAGTTCCATATTTAATTTTTTTGAGGAAACTCCATACTGTTTTCCATAATGGCTGCACCAGTCTGTATTCCCACCAGCAATGTACTAGGGTTCCCTTTTCTTCACATCCTTGCCAGCACTTGTCTTTTGTTGATGGTAGCCATTCTGACAGGTATGAGGTGATACCTCATTGTCGTTTTAATTTGCATCTCTGTGATGATCAGTGACTTTGAGCATTTTTTCATGTTTCTTGGCCATCTGAAAAAGACTAAGAGACATATGGGTCCTTTGCTCATTTTTTAATTGGATTGTTTGTCTTCCTTTTGTTAAGTTGTATGAGTTCCTTATATATTTTGGATATTAACTCTTTGTCAGATGTATCATTTTTTTTTTTCAGATGTATCATTGCCAAATATATTCTCCCATACAGTGGGCTCCTTTTCCATTTTGTTGATGATTTCCTTTGCTGTGCAGAAGCTTTTTATTTTGATGTAGTCCCATTTGTTTATTTTCTCCTTAGTTTCCTTTGCCCTAGGACAAGGGTGGGCAACCCCTGCCACGTGTGCCAAACATGGCACGCCAGTAACTTTTGCTGGCACGCGAAACCCTCTCTCTCTTATAATCTTCCATTTACAATTGTGAATCTTTGTTCTCAGTGATGAATTTTGTTAAGTCTCGTAATAGGAGTAGCCTGACGGATGAAAGTAGTAGCTCGTGCATATCTCTGAAGGTCACGAAATATAAACCTGATGTAAAATCTCTGTCATCAGTGATGCAGCAGCAAAAGTCCCACTGATAATATCAAACGGAGTCATAAAGTTTTCTGTCGGACTATCAGTGTACATGTATACATTAAAAAATAAATGTATTTTTCATCATCATATACTGTGTTTTTGTCGCTCGAATGAATTTTATTATTTCTTCAAGGTTCTTCACATACGTATACACCTTAAGAGATATCAAGTAGGCGTAACATGTTCTCAAAAAATTAGGGCTGGCACGCAGAAGAATTTTGAGTCAGAGATTTTGCTGGTTTTGGCATGCACTCACAAAAAGGTTGCCCACCCCTGCCCTAGGAGGTGTATCCATAAACATATTGCACAAGACATGTCTGAGATCTGTTGCCTATGTTTTCTTCTAGGAGTTTTATGGTTTCACAACTTACATTTAAGTGTTTTATCCATTTTGAGTTTATTCTTGTGTATGGTGTAAGTTAGTGATCTAGTTTCATTTTTTTTGCATGTACCTGTACAATTTCCCCAACACCATTTATTGGAGAGACTGTCTGACTCCACTGTATGCTCTTGCCTCCTTTGCCAAATATTAATTGAGCTTAATGGCTTGGTAAATTTCTGGGATCTCTGTTCTGTTCCATTGGTCTATATGTCAACGATGAGTCCAGCCGGCATGGCTCAGTGGTTGGGTGTCAATCTATGAACCAGGAGGTCATGGTTTGATTCCTGGTTAGGGCACAAGCCTGGGTTCTGGGCTCGATACCCAGTAGGGGGCATGCAGGAGGTAGTTGATTGATGATTTTCTCTCATCATTGATGTTTCTATTTCTCTTTCCCTCTCCCTTCCTCTTTGAAATCAATAAACATATATATTTTTAAAAAAGATTTTCTCTTTCATCTGTAATTTTTGGGATTTTAATTATGATGTGTCTCTTCATAGGTCTGCTTGGATTCTTCTTGCTTGGTGCTTCTGGAACTTGTGTGACCTTTTCCTTTACTGGGTTAGGAAAGTTTTCTATTATTTCTTCAAACATGTTCTCTATACTTTTTTCACTTTCTTCCCCTTCTGGTATCCCTATTATGTGAATACTAGTGGCCCGGTGCACGAGATTCATGCATGGAGGGTGGGGGTTCCCTCAGCCCAGCCTGCACCCTCTCCAATTGGGGAACCCTTGGAGGATGTCTGACTGCCTGTTTAGGCCTGATTCCTGTAGGGATCCCTCTCGCTATCTGGGACTGCTGGCTCCTACCTGCTCACCTGCCTGCCTGCCTGATTGCCCCTAACTACTCTGTCTGCCGACCTGCTTGCCCTCAATTGCCCCCGCCAGTTTGCTTGCCCCCAACTGCTCCCCTGCCAGCCTGCTCACCCCCAACTGCCCCCCTGCCAGCCTGATTACCTCCAACTGACCCCCACTGATGGCCTGCTTGCCCCCAACTGGCCCCCCTGCTGCTCTGCTTACCCCCAATGGCCCTGCCCCCCCACCAGCCTGATCACCCACAACTTCCCTCCCCTCTTGGCCTCTAACTGCCTCTACATTGGCCCTGCCACCATGGCTTTGTCCAGAAGAATGTTTGGAAGGTCTCCTGGAAGGTCTCCCAGTCTAATTAGCATATTACCCTTTTATTAGTATAGATAGAGGCCTGGTGCACGGGTGGGGGCCAGCTGGTTTTCTCTGAAGGGTGTCCCAGATCAAGGTGGGGGTCACCTTGGGGGGCAGGGTGGCCTGGGCGAGGGGCCTGTGGTGGTTTTCAGGCTGGCCATGCCATCATTGGGGTGAGGGTCCCCACTGGGGATGGTGTTGGCCTGGGCAAGGGGCTGTGGCAGTTTGCAGACCAGCCACACCCCCATGGGGGGTCCCTCAACCCGGCCTGTGCCCTTTCACAGTCTGGGACCCCTTGGGGGATGTCCACCTGCTGGCTTAGGCCAGCTCCCTGGGGGATTGGGCCTAAGCTGGCAGTCAGACATCCCTCTGGCAGCCCAGGACCCCTTGGGGGATGTCCACTTGCCAGCGGGGAGCAGGCCTAAGCTGCAGTCAGACATCCTTAGCATTGCTAAGGAGGCAGGAGAGGCTCCCGCCACCACCACGGTACTGGCAGCCGTCAGCCTGGCTTGTGGCTGAGCAGAGCTCTCCCTGTGGAAGTGCACTGACCACCAGGGGGCAGCTCCTGCATTGAGCGTGTGCCCCCTGGTGGTCAGTGTGTGTCATAGTGACCAGTCATTCCCAGTCGTTCTGCTGTTAGGGTCAATTTGCATATTACCCTTTTATTATATAGAATAGAGGCCTGGTGCACGGGTGGGGGCCAGCTGGTTTGCCCTGAAGGGTGTCCCAGATCAGGGTGGGGGTTCTGCTGGGGTGCCTGGCCAGCCTGGGTGAGGGGCTGAAAGCTGTTTTCAGGCTGGCCAAGCCCCCCAGCGGGGACCCTCACCCCATGGAGGTGTGGCCAGCCTGGGTAAGGGGCTGATGGCTGTTTGCAGGCTGACCAAGCCCCCCAGCGGGGACCCTCACCCCATGGGTGCGTGGCCAGCCTGAGTGAGGGGTTGAGGGCTGTTTTCAAGCTGGCCACAGCCCCTTCAGGGCGGGGGTCCCTGCTGGGGTGCCTGGCCACCGTGGGTGAGGGGCTGATCACTGTTTGCAGGCTGGCCACACCCCCTTCAGGGTGGGTTCCCCACTGGGGTGCCTGGCCAGCCTGGGGGAGAGGCTGATGGCTGTTTGAAGGCTGGCCACAGCCCCTGGTGACCCAAGCTCCCAGCCCCTCCTTTTTTTTCAGTGCCTTCTTGAGTGGAGGGAAGCTGGTATCTAGGATTTATTTATCTTCTATAATTGAAACTTTGTAGCCTTGAGAGGAGCCCAGGGTGGGCCAGACCAGGCGGGAAGCTTGGCTTCCTCTATCACCAGGGGCAACCCAAGCCTCCTGCTCACTCCAGCTCCGTGGCTGCTGCCATCTTGGTTGGGTTAATTTGCATACTCACTCCTGATTGGCTTGTGGGCATGGCTTGTGGGTGTAGCAGAGTGGCAGAGTGATGGTTTATTTGCATGTTTCTCTTTTATTAGTTTAGATTATGCCATTGTGGTCTAAGAAGATGCTTGATATGATTTCAATCTTCTTGAATTTGGAGAGACTTTTCCTGTGACCCAATATGTGGTCTATCTTTAAAAATGTCCCATGTGCACTTGAGAAGTTTGTATATTCCATGGCTTTGAGGTGAAATGTTCTGAAGATGTCAATTAAATCCATCTGATCTTGTGAGTCATTTAGGATTGTTGTTTCATTGCTGATTTTTTGCCAAGAGGATTTATCCAGTGATGTCAGTGGGGTATTAAAGTCCCCTACTATAATTGTACTGTTGTCGATCTCTCCCTTGATATCTTCCAGGAGTTTTTTTTTAAAAATATTTGGGTGCTCCTGCATTGGGTGCATAAACGTTTACCAGGGTTATATCCTCTTGTTGTATTGATCCCTTTAGTATTATGACGTAGCCTTCCTTATCTCTTGTTATGGCCTTCACTCTGAGGTCTGTTTTGTCAGATATAAGTATTGCTACCCCAGCTTTTTTTTTTTTCATTTCCATTTGCCTCAAAGATATTTTTCCATCCCTTCACTTTCAGTCTGTGTGAGTCCCTTGTTCTGAGGTGGGTCTTTTGTAGAGAGCATATGGGTCATGTTTTTTTTTTTTTTTATCCATTCAGCCAATTGATGTCTCTTGATTGGCGCATTTAGTCCATTCAAGTTTAAAGTTATTATTGATAGGTACTTGTTTGTAGCCATTTTAATTTTTTTTTATGCCTGTGTTCCTTCTTCCCTTTTTATTTCTTCTTTTTACACCAGTCCTTTTAGCATTTCTTGCATTACTGGCTTGGTAGTGATAAACTCCCTTAGTTTGTTTTCTTTTGTTTTGTTTTGTTTGTGAAGCTCCTTATTTCCCCTTCAATTTTGAATGATAGCCTTGTTGGATAGAGTATTCTTGGTTTCAGTCCCTTGTTTTGCATCACTTTGTATACTTCCTTCCATTCCTGTTTGACCTGATGTGTTTTTGTTGAGAAATCATTTGACAATCTAGTGGGAGATCCCTTGCATGTAATTTTCTGTCTCTCTCTTGCAGCCTTTAAGATTCTCTCTTTGTCCTGAATGTTTCCCATCATAATTACCATGTGTCCTGGTGTGGGTCTTTTCAGTTCATCTTGTTTGGGACTCTCTGTGCTTGTGTGACTTTTTTCTTCCCCACATCAGAAAGTTTTCTGATATTATTTCTTCAAATAGGTTTTTTTTTTATTTTTTTTAAAATATATTTTATTGATTTTTTACAGCGAGGAAGGGAGAGAGATAGAGAGTTAGAAACATCGATGAGAGAGAAACATCGATCAGCTGCCTCCTGCACATCTCCCACTGGGGATGTGCCCACAACCCAGGTACATGCCCTTGACCGGAATCGAACCTGGGACCTTTCAGTCTGCAGGCCGACGCTCTATCCACTGAGCCAAACCGGTTTCGGCTCAAATAGGTTTTTTAACCCTTGTTCCTCTTCCTGTCGTTCTGTCATCCCTATTATTTGTATGTTGCTTTGTTTCATGTTGTCCCAAAGCTCCCTTAGGCTCTCCTCCTGTCTTTTAATTTGTTTTCTCCAATTGCAGTTCAGTTTGGCTGTATTTTGCTTCCCTGTTTTCTAATTCACTAATTCGGTCCTCTGCTTCTCCTAGTCTACTGTTGCAACTTTCCATGGTGCTTTTTCATTGCAGCTATATCACTCTTTATTTCTTCTTGATTCTTACCTAAGTTGTTGATTTTTTTCATCCATCTGATTTATGAACAGCATGACCCTTAGTCTGAATTCTTTTTCTGACATATTGCATGTCTCTATTTCACTTAGCTGCTTTTCTGGCAAGTCCTCCTTTTCTTTCCTTTGGGGGTTTCTTTGTCTCCCCATTTTTGGTCTGACTGAGGGATCTAGGTGTCGAGTTGTGCAGGGTCTGCTCTTTGGGTGGCATTTGCTCCCCGGGCAGTGGCTGTTCCTCAGGTGGTCGTGACAGTGACTGCTCCTCAGTTGAAGGTGGCTCCTGTGGTGGGTGCTGCTCACAGAAGTAGTGGTTCCACTGGATTCTAGGGGCAGGCTGCTCATGCAGCTGCTGTTTCTTTGACTGTGGCAGGCTGCTCACAAGGCTGCTGCTCCACAGACGGGGTTGGAATGCTCATGGGGCTACTGCTCCTCGGATGGGGGTGGGCTGCTCACACAGCTGCTGCTCCTTGGGTGGGGGCAGGTTGCTCACAGGGCTGCTGCTCTTTGTACATGGGCAGAATGCTCATGCAGCTGCTGCTCCTCGGACGGGGGTGAGCTGCTTGTGCAGCTGCTGCTCCTTGGATGGGTACGGGCTGCATGGGGCTGCTGCTCCTCAAATGTGGGTGGGCTGCTTGTGTGCTTGCTGCTCCTGGGGCAGGCTGCTCACATGGCTGCTGTTTGCATGGTCGCAATGCCCTGGGCTAAAGCGTTGGGACAGTCAGAGGGGAGTGTGCTTTGGAACTCACAGGAGCCCACACCTGGGGTGGCTAGAGTCTCGGTGATCATGGGACTGCAGCTGAGGCAGCAGGTCCCTGGTAGGGGTGGCTGTATTGTCCCAGGTGTTATCTGAGGGCACCCTGGGTGGAGGTGAGGCTGGGCTCCCAGTCACAGCAGCTCTCCCCTTCAAAAAGGTGCAGCCTCCATGGAAGAGCCAGCTGCTCCAGGACTGTTTGCAATGGTAGCAGAGGCTGCCTGGTTAGGCGTGCCCAGTCAGCCTACCCCCAGAGGTCCTGTGGGAAATAACTGTGCCTCACTCATGCACAGACATGTACCCCACATGTCCACACACTCCTATTTTGCTCCCTTACTCACTCATGCTCTCTCCCTCACTGCTACCTTCTTCCTGCCTCTGTAGTTTGGTCTGGAGTGTTATTGACCTGTTCGTGGATGGAGTCTCCTCTCTGGGTCTCTGCTTATGTGGCTTGCTCTCTACCACATTGGTCAAACAAGATAAAATTCACCTTGACAAGACACGACACAAAGGGAACAAAACACGAATGTACTCACAACACTGATAACCCCAATATAAGTGACCACCAGAGAAAAGAAAATTAGGGGAGAGAAAAGAGAGCACAAATGATATCGAAGAGAGAAAAAATGGTATGAGAGAAAAGAAAAAGAACAAAAAGGAAGAAAAAGGAAAAAAATATATATATGGGGAGAAAACACCAGAGAACAAACAGATAAACCAAAGCATACAAACATCAACTTCTCAGTAAAAAGGGTGGGGGCAGAATCTTATATACAAAAAGTAAGGTTAAGGAATTGCATGAATATGGGGAGGACCTCAGTTCAGAATAGAGAAAGCAGAAAGAGGATGAGTGGATAAGAAGAAAGAGAAAGAGCAGAAAAAAAATAATAAAAATTAATTAAAAAATAAGATGAAAAAAATTAGGATGATGAAAAAATAATGCAAAAAGAAATAGAAAATAAACAAACAAAAAAGTAAAATAAAGATAAATAGAGAACAAAACAATAATAAAATAAAATAAAAATGAAAAAGTCAAGTGTTGTTCCTTTCCGCCAATTAAGATCCCACTCTTCTGTAATGTCTGCCACTTCTCAGTTTCCTGTTGCTGGGACTGAGGTCTCTCTTTAGGCCAATCCCTAAGGGCTCTCAGGGACTATTCCGATTTTTTTTTTGGTATCCTTGTGCCACTCAGTGTGTGGCTGTATTGGTTGCCTGGAGATTTCAGGGAGGGGTGATCTTTTCAGGAGAAAATGGCTGCCTAGGTGCTTTGTGTCAGGTATGATTTAGTGCCAGACTCATAGCCACCTCTCTCTGACCCTCTCTTCTCCTTGGCCTCTCCCCAGACTCCACAAGTCCGCACCTCCACCTGCACCTCATTCATGGGTGAGTGTCTGTATTTGAAAGGTCCTACTAACTAGGTTAAGCAGACAAAAGCAAAGACAAAAAAAGAGGGGAAAGAGCTGCACCACTGCAAGCCCCTCTACTCCTGGCATGGCATGGCCTGGGCAGCCGTCCAGGCTGCCTGCTTGGGCTCAGTCTTTCGTGGCTGCGGACCCAGATCTAGAATCCCCTGCCACCAACAGTCCTGTGGACCTCCCTTCCACAGTCAGACACTGTGCTATGCCTGTCCCAAGGGACGTGTCCTCAGTGCCATGTGGTTTCCCTCTGATCCTCTGGGCTCGGAGGTCTCACAGTTCTCTCCAGCCAGATCCCTGATTTTACCGTTCTGCAGGCATCCTCTTCCCTTCCTGGCTGCAAATTGTCTCACCAGCAGTGTCTACTTTGTCAATTCAGGGTGGATGTTATTCGATTTAGTTGCTCATTCTATCTGCTGTGGGATAAGGCTCGGGACACATCCCTCTATTCTGCTGCCATTTTGTCTCCTCCTGTACCACAGCTTTTTTATCCACTCATCTACTGATGGGCACTTGGGCTGTTTCCAGATCTTAGCTATTGTAAGTTGTGTTGCTATGAACATAGGGGTGCATATATTCTTTCTGATTGGTGTTTTGGGTTTCTTAGGATATATTCCTAGAAGTAATAGCACTTGGTCAAATGGCATTTCCATATATATATTTTTGAGGATACTCTATACTCTTTTCCATAATGGCTGCACCAGTCTGAATTCCCACCAGCAGTTTACTAGGATTCCCTTTTCTCCACATCCTCACCAGCACTTGTCATTTGTTTATTTGTTGATGGTAGCCATTCTGACAGGTGTGAGGTGATATCTCAGTGTTGCTTTAATTTGCATCTCTCTGAAGATCAGTGACTTTGAGCATTTTATAATTATTAATTTTTGTTGTTAATCCTCACCCAAGGATATTTTCCCATTGATTTTTAGGGAGAATGGAAGAGAGAGGGAAAGACAGAGAGAAACATTGATATGAGAGAAACACATCGATTGGTTGCCTCCTGCACGAGCCCAGGGCTCAGGCCAGGGAGGTGCCAGCAACCAAGGTACATGGCCTTGAACAGAATCAAACCCAGGACCATTTGGTCTGCAGGCCAATGCTCTATCCACTGAGCCAAACCGGCAAAGGCTCATATGTCTTTTGGCCATCTATACGTCCTCTTTGGAGAAGTGTCTATTTAGGTCTTTGCCCATTTTTTTTTTTAAATATATATTTTTATTGCTTAAATTATTACAAAGAGTATTACATGTTTCTCCTTTTTTTCCCCCGCCCTTGACAACCCCCGGGCCCCCCTTCCCCCCCCCCCCAGTGTCTTATGTCCATTGGTTATGCTTATATGCATGCATACAAGTCCTTTGGTTGATCTCTTACCCCCCCGCCTGCCCCCCCACCCTCCCCGGCCTTCCTGCTGTAG